GTAACATACATGACAGTGCCTCTGCCTCTCAGTGAGACAGGACAGGAGTGTGGACACCCACCTATCTTTCTCTATTAGATGAGATAAGATCACTTTATTAGCCATATGCAAGAAATTGCATTAGGAATTTGTCTTTTCGCAGACCCCAACTTGCTCTCCATGAGACACACAGGCACACAGACAGGGAGAGAAGCTGGGGGTCAGAGTGCAGGGTCAGCCATTTATACAGCACCCCTGGAGCTGTTGGGGTTAAAGGCCTTGCTCAGGGGCCCAACAGAGTAGGATTCCTCTGTCGGCCGTGGGATTTGAACCGGCAACCTTCCAGCCACAGGCGCAGATCCTGAGTCACAGAGCCACTGCTCGGCCCGTGACCCCAGTCCAGTACTGGAAGAGGAGTTTTCTAGGATCCAGGATCAGTGAAGTGCGCAAGTAGTCTTATGGATGAGCTCCACACTCCTGTCCCAAAGGGAGGAGCTGACCCTGCAGTGCCAAACTCCCACAGTACCAGCATCGCTCATCCATACAAATATACCGGATGCGTCCCGGTGTCGGAAGCATTTGTCTGCTTTACAGTCGCTGCTCGGGGACTTAGTGTTCCTTGCCTCTTACGTCCTTCTGGATAACCGTGTGTCAGATTGATAACTTGGGAGTTTTTCCTAGCCCAGTTCCGGAACACGCTTTTGAGGGATGATCTCCATCCGGCCAAACTGGGTTAAGGTAAAGATGAGGAACTGCGGCAGGCCACAGTTTCTGAATGCCCAAAACCAGTGTGAATGCGCAAGAGAAGATGCAAACTCCTCGCAGTCCTGCGGCCAGAAAAGAGCTCATTCGGAGTGAACTTGAACTTTATTGCCATATGTAACCGGTACACATACTGCTACAGTGGAATTCTTACATTAAGTCTTTCGATTGTTAAAACACAAAGTGCAGACAGTGCATCAAGACAACGTAAAAAACAAACAGTAGACAATGTACAAGTAAACAAGTAAACAGTTTGAATGGAAACAATGCAGGCATGTAAACAGTGACTGGAGATGTGCAATAAATAAGAAATCATAATGAGGTAGATGGTATAGGTGTGGTCCGAGGGGCATGGCTAAATGTGTTTCCCAATCGCTCTGCTTGGGGGTAGAATCTAGTGGTAAGTGTCTCTTGTATCTCTTGCCTGAGGGCAGTGGGGTGAAGGGCTCATGCCCGGGGTGGTGACTGTCCTCTGTGATGGCCAGAATTCTACCACGGCAGCGGACCTCATAGAGCTCTTTAATCTCGGTGAGACCACGGCCGATGATCTTCTGGGCCACCATTCTCTACAGTGCTTTTCTCTCTCTTGAGAAGAGGTGTTGCCGTACCACACAGTGATCCCATTGGTGAGGACGCTCTCGATGGTGCAGCGGTAGAGGTTCACCAACACAGGTGCTGGCATCCCCCATCGCTTGAGGCACCTCAGGAAATACAGGCGCTGCTGAGCCTTCTTCGAGATAGAGTCCGTGCGCACAGTCCAGGTTAGATCATTAGAAATGTGAAATCCCAAAAACCTAAAGCTGGTGACTGTTTCCACTTCCGTTCCATCAATACTGAGTGGGCTGGGAGTGTGTGGCCTGAGTCTCCAAAAGTCCACTATTAGCTCTTTTGTTTTATTTACGTTCAAGTCCAGGTTATTGCTATGACACCACCTAAGCAGCTGTACGACTTCATCCCTGTAAGTGGCTTCGTTTCCACCCCTGAGAATGCTTTGATCAGTTGAGATCAGTCCCACTATCCACTGCTGAAATGCCATTGATTAATAGCAGGCAGGTTTCAGGGGATTGCAGAGGTGGCTGGGGAGAGGAGGACAGCCTGACCAGTCTCTCTTGTTGTTCATTTCATACAAGGTCGTTCTGTGGATAGTCTGTATATATTGATTGGGCTTATATTTAGCAAACGTGTGCAACCTGAACCAAAACATTTCGATGGATTGTGTGCTATTTTTGGTAGGGATATCATCAATCCATTTACCTTGTCCCGTTTTTTTTCATTTCGTATCGCAAAGTTCAGTGCGTCTCCAAGACACAGTAGCGCCATTCTGTCAAGTCAGCGGAGGGCGGGGTTCCCAACGTCTTTACTGGGGCTGCAGGGAGCAGGTTTGTCTTTCCTGGGGGAAGGGACACCGGCGATCGCGCCGGGGGATCTGTGGCGAAAAGGGGGCGTCGCGGGGTCTGGCCTGCGTTTTTGAAACAAAGCGAGCGTGATGTTTCCAGTCCACACTCTGGTGAGATACAGTAAAAAAAAAACACACCGAATGAGAAATGAACAAAAGACAACAGACATCAGTGTAGCCCTTTGATCCTGTACGCGTGGGTCTGATGTCCGGTTGTTGTTCAGAAACCAATGCATGTAGTGAATGTGTTATTCATGATGACCTTTAGATGAATTGCCGAGGCCCTTTCTGTCATTCGGCTGTGGCAGCACAGCTCCCTGCAGTGCTGTGCTGACCAACTGACTGATAATATCCTTGTAATAATACCTTACACTTACACAGGGACTCCCCTTACACTTTTCTGGGACTCCCCTCCACCATCACCAGTGTGCAGCCCCACCTGGATGATGCTCCAGTCCGCTCCCCACACACCAGCTCTCAGTGGGGAGGAGAGCAGAGTGATGGAGCCAGTTCAGAGATGGGGATTATTAGGAGGCCATGATTGGTGAAGGCCAGGGGGAAATTTGGCCAGGACACCGGGGTAACACCCCTACTCTTTTGATTTTTAATGACCGCAGAGAGTCAGGACCTTGGTTTTATGCATCATCCAAAGGTTTTTTACAGTATAGTGTCCCCGTCACTATACTGGGGCATTAGAACCCACACAGATCGCAGGGTGAGCACCCCCTATTGGTAACACCTCTTCCAGCAGCAGCCTCAGCTTTCCCAGGAGTCTCCCCTCCAGGTACTGACCAGGCTCACACCTGCTGGGCTCCAGTGGGGCTGCCAGCTGAGAACTGCAGAGTGACAAAGCTGCATGCAATAAAGACTAAAGAATGTTTTCTCCAGGCTTCTGTGAATGAAGAGTAGATCGGCTTTAGGGTGAGACCTCCTAGAGTATGATTTTACAAGATCACCTGCAGCCCAGGAAGGGGCAGTAGGTGGCAGAGTCTGCGTGGGCACAGGGTTGAAGAGTAGCAAAGCTTTGCGATGGGTTGCATCAAGGGAGGTCTGATGCACTGAGGATTACCGAACCCTTCTTTGCTGGCCGATGCAGGTGCCACCACGGTCTTGGGTTCCTCTGCGTGTTTTTTTGCCGGGTGACTGCAAGAGGAGGGGCAGGCCATGGGGTTCTCGTTGTCCCCCTGCGCCAGAGTCCAGTTTCGGAGATGGGGGGTCGCGTGGTGCAGCGTGGTCCCTCGCTCTCTTGATTTCCTCGGCTCCCTGGGGGGCACCCCGTGTGCCCTCGCGGCCCCTTTCTCTGTCCGCTGCATGGTGAGAGGGCATCACCGTGTTGGCATAAACCACCTGAAGGCACCACGCCCCATGTGGGTAGCATAGCGTGCTTCCTTGCTCCCATGCAGCCAACAAGACGCTGCAAAGGAGAGAGCCATCTGCTAGAGAACACAAGTTCTCAAATCGTTGAGAGAGGCTGACCGGCATCACGACCCCCCTGGTCGTTCTGAAGGATATCTCCATGGCAAGAAAGAAGCTGCACCCCGAGCGTGCCACGTGTGCAAATTAAATTAATCTGGCTGCTGAGCGCGATTGCATCTGAAGGACTGAGCCATTAAGGCAGGATTTCCTGTGGAAGGTAATTACAGGACGGCTCTTTAATCACTGTCGTGGGAAGGTGGGGAGGAGAGAACTTTTGTTTTTCCAGGTTTTAATGAGAAGGTCCCCCCCCCCACCCCTCCACCTGATCTGTAGCCCTCTTCTGTTTGGATTCTAGGCCACTAGAGGGCGGTAATTACATGCCAGACCGCCCTGCTCTCCTGCAGCCACCTGTGTGCGTTGCCCGCTGCCGCTGTTCTGGGTTGCGCAGTGCCACACTCCTGAAGGAGCCGTTACCGCATTCCTGAGGACCAGCGGAACGTTTGCATGAGGCCGGATATATCTGCCGGGGGGGGGGAGAATGGACAGATCTCGTCGGACTCTTCTTTGTGCTCAGTTACGAGCTTGAGCTGCCGCAGCACAGCCACCAGGACAGGGGACCAGGTGCTGCCCGTGTGCTGAGACCGGAGGTTGCGCGCTGTGGCTGCCAGCGCGGCGCTGTCTGTGATGCGCATGCAGGCTGTGCTGCGGCAGGCAGAGGGCCTGGCCCCGCCGTCCTCCAAGCGCGTGCGAGCGTGTCAGTGTTCGCAGCTCACTTACAGGAGGAAGTGCCAATTACCGCAGCTCTGATAAGGCCCCTGGGCTCTTGCAGCCCATTAAACCTTGCACTCATCTCAGATGTTTAACCTTGCTGCTGCGCACAGCCTCAGATCCCTGTCTGATACCTAGCCCGCCTTCATTAGTGTGGCAGCCCACTCTCAGCCCCACCACCAGGCTGGCTGTGGCTGTGCTGCATTACGTTAGTCGCAAGCGTTGGCCTTCTTCTCCTTTCTTAATGTCACAGGATCTCTGCTGCCTAACGAGCTGAAAAATCTGGTAGAAATACAGGAGCAGTACTGGGGAGCCATGAAAAGACGTTGCCGTTTTATTTTGCACTGTGGGGAGACGAGGCGTTGCCTGTGGTATGAGTGATCCTGCAGGGGGTGGAGTTTTGGGGTCAAATGTGGGTGGGGGGGGGACTCTGGAGCAGAGGGCGTCTCGTCTCCCAGAGTGAGCGGAGCTGTCTGGAGCTCTAGTCTGACTGCTTGTGTCACCTGTACCTAAGCGGGGTTGATTGCAGCACATGTGAATCCAGCGTGTGCTCGGGTGCAGGGGCTAGGACCCGTGCTCCCTCTCTGTCTCCATGGGCTGCAGGTGAGCGGTGTGTGAACTGCCTGGTCTGTGGCTCATGTTCCCCCCCCTCTCCCCCCCTCCCTCTGGCTCGCTCCAGGTGTTTGCTGCAGCTGGAGAAGGACGGTTTCTCGCTGGAGGCCTTGTACAGGAAGTGCGTTTTCCGGGAGGACGAGCGCGAGATGGTGCTGAAGGCCGTGCAGGCGGTGCAGCCTGACTTCCAGCCCCACGTGCCCACGGACACGAAAGTCTGTTCTTCTCCCCTGGTTCAAGACTTTTACACCAAGGTACCCAAACGTCTCGGCCCCTGTAGCACCCTTAAGAGCCAGCCCCTTAGTTCTGAGCGAGGAGGAGGAAATCCTTCCGAAAACCCAACATGTCCATCTGATCAGCTTCAGTGTCAGTCTTGTTTTAAGGCGTCATACATAGATTCACTGCCTGTTAAGATTCAGTGAGGTCTGTACAGTGTGGAACTAAAACGCATTGAGATCCAGGAACAGGAGGCTTTACACAAGGGGTTGTGGGAGTCTGGAGCAAAATTGTGTGCTTGAAGCTGAGACCCTGGTTTCTTTCAAGAAGTGCCTGGATGACATCTTCCGATCAATTAGCTTCTAGCTGCCTCACAGGGATGTTCTCATGTTCTAAAAAGTGGACTTGAGTGTCGATATCTATATAGGAGACTGCTTTCTCATTCTGTGGAGGTGTGGATGCTGTAATTGGACGTGCTGCATCCCATTTTCACACTGATTCATCAACGTGCCTCTTCTGGGATATTTTTAGCTTTCTGGTTGGCACGAGTGTTTTTTTGGGGGGGGGGGGGGTTGGGAGGAAGGTGTAGAAATGACAAACTAGGGAAAAATGGGATCATCTGCCTTCTCTGCCAGCTGGTGCGAGGCTCAGCTGACCCGCACACGGCAGGGGCAGGCGCGAGAGAGATCAGGGACCTGTGAGCTCTCTTCACCTGGGGACCGTGCCACAGCAGTCTTTCCACAAGCAAGCGTGAAAGGTCCCCCATACGTGTGGCAGTAGAAGCAACAGGAGCACTAACAATCAATTAAAAGTGATAGGACAATTCAAAAGTGGTTCAACTACTGTATGTATCTATGCTGTCTCTTTATTTATATGGAGTTGATTGAAGGGGGAACTGCAGTCCCAATTTCTCCGACCGGTTATTAAATCTCGTTAACAAACTAAATACTTCAATGCAATTGAAAAATTGGACAAATTAAATGCATTAAATGTAAGGAATTATTAGTATTATTATTATTATTATTATTAATGAAAACTGCAAATCCTTTTTGTGCAAAAAGATTGAATCCTGGCCAGTCACCACAGTGGCTGGTTAACAGGTATCCACTGCCATGCTTGTGTGTGTGTGTGTGTGCTCAAATACACTTGCACGACAGGTGTGTGTGTGTGTGTGCTCAAATATACTTGCACGACAGGTGTGTGTGTGTGGGGGGGGGAGGGGGAGCTTTTTTCTGGCTGTCAGCCAAGCACCTAGTACTTTTAACACTTAGCACCTTGCAGTTAAGCCAGCCAGGTGTGAAAGTAAACAAACCAGATGTCTTTTGCGTTAATTACAGTAACCTCTGGGTTTGCTCGTTTTCCCACAAGCTCTTGTCTCGGCGTCTGGCTCTCATTGCGGTGGCTCAAGACGCTGGGGGCAAGTGCGTCAGGGGCTGGGGTGTGTGTTTGCACACAGGAGTAATTAAACTTGTGAGAGGGACACGCCACACGCAGCAGGGGAAGGGATGTGGGGTCCGTACACATGAACGAAGTTGAAAGGAGCTGTTGCTCCTTTTCTTTTCAAAAGAAATAACTGTCCTAGCCAGCAGCTGTATCACCCTGCAGCTCCCAGCCGGCAGCCCCACTGGAGCCCAGCAGGTGTGGGCCTGGCCAGTACCTGGAGGGGAGACTCCTGGGAAAGCTAAGGCTGCTGCTGGAAGAGGTGTTAGTGGGGCCAGTAGGGGGCGCTCACCCTGCGGTCTATGTGGGTCCTAATGCCCCAGTCCCATCCTTCGGATGAGATCTAAAACCAATGTCACGACTCTCTGTGGTCATTAAAAAATCTCAGGGCATATCTTAAAAAGAGTTGGGGTGTAACCCTCGCTTTTTTCCTTACTCCTTTTCTCCAGGGATTGGTACCAGTTCGAAGTCGTTCTAGTTATAATATCTACTGGTACAAAATATCACCAGCCAGCCCCCTTGTTGACGGGGTGTCTTCTTATATAAATGTTCATAGACGGCAACCCTAGATTTCATAGATACTGGTACACGGAGCGTTTCTCCCAGGGCGTTTCTCGAAAAGAGTAGGGGTGTTACCCCAGTGTCCTGGTCAAATTTCCCCCTGGCCTTTATCCATCATGGCCTCCTAATAATCCCCAGCTATGAACTGGTTTCATCACTCTGCTCTCCTCCCCACTGAGAGCTGGTGTGTGGGGAGCGGACTGGAGCATCATCCAGGTGGGGCTGCACACTAGTGGTGGTGGAGAGGATCCCCATAACCTGTATAGTGCTTTGAGTGGGGTGTGCAGAAAAGTGCTATATAAGTGTGAGGATTTTTTTTTCTTACATCAAAATGCAAAGACTTCATGCACTGATAGAAAAGGAGATTTGAACGTATTGGTAAGACATAAATACTAATACAACTCAACAGCTGACCTGTGGTTTCGATGGCTTGGGTGCTGCTTGTGTAAATGTGAGAGGGGGTTGAAGGGGCTGCCTGTGGAGTCTCCACACTGTGCAGTTTGCTGGGCTCTGCTGGTCAGCCCATTGAACGTGTGAATAAATTCTGCCGCACTAGAAGACCTGGTCCTGTGCTGTGGTAGAGTTCTGCACGGCCAGGCTTTGAGAGGGGGTCTGACATTACTTCTGTGACTGAGTGGACAGTGCCTGAACCAAGTCCAGCAGTTTTTCCAGGTCCGGTGCTCAGTGCAGACCTCCAGCTTAAGCAGAGCCAGGGCCCAGCAGCTGTTCCAGGTCAAGAAAAGATACAGCTTCTTCCTAACTTCCTAACTTCCTCCAGGCGCTGGCTGGGCTGTCCAGCATGAGCCCGGGGGTAACTGAGTTCTTCCCTTACCGTATTGCAGAGGGAGCTGGCTCAGTACCCCAAACTGGACTTCACCCTGGCCGAGCTGAGGGAGAGATTCAGGCGGCAGCTGAGCACAGAGCAGGCCGACATCCTGACCATGGACTCTGTGGAGGCCAGCAAGCCGATCACCGAGCACATGGCCAAAATGGTACCAGTCTGCGACTTCACACTGCTGAGCCTGGCTGGATAAATCTCGCATATGAAGGATGTGTTTGTTAGTCTTTGTTTGATGTTGCAAAGATTTTTATGTAAAAAGTCACTCCATTATTATGGTATTCTGGGAATCTACCACCTGTTTCGACTGTTCAGCAATTATACCTTAATAATGACACGTGTACATTCTGTTTAAACTGGAGATCCAGTTCATTTGAAACGATCATCATGGATTTTGTTATGTATATGTGAGTTTGCATACTCATATATATATGGTAAGTGTTTGGCTGCTCCCTCTGTAGTCCTGAAGCTTGCAGATGGTGACCAACTAAATCCACTCAGGGAAGGAAAATCTGTTGCTCCTCTAATTTCTGCTTTGGCCCCGGTTTTTCTAAAGCATAGTAAAACCCCAAACTGAATTCTCAGGAATTTGTAGGAAGCAGAATTTCCAGTGGTATACCCAGGGAACACGGGGAGACGCCGCATTGACATTTAAATTACGTGCTCTGCGTCTTCCGACTGCATTTTGAAAGTTAAGTACTGCAATGTTCCCTAAAAACCTGAAGCCAGTCTTTAAAAAAAAAAAATCAAGCCTGCGGATTCTGAACAGGTCCTCAATCATGTTCAGTGATGGCACTCTGTTTTTCTGTAGTATCCAAGCAAGCTGTTCTCCTGGCCTAGAAAGCAGGCCGGACGGAGACAGACGCGGCCCACATTTAAAAAGAGAGGGGGGTCTCTTCTTTCTCTCCCCTCTCCCCTCCCATCTCTGTGCTTTGCCGAGTGTGAGTTGCCTACCACCCTTGTTGCCTGGTCTACACGAAACCCCTGCCAATCCAGTTGCAAACGAATTCTTTTAAAAAAAATGGGTAATGATAATAAATAGCTTTTATTTATGAAGCACCAAGGATGCTGCACATTATGAATAAAGAAAAGTACCATAATAAAATCCACCAATAAAAAAACCGAAGAGCACACAGTTTTTTACAAATTGACTGTAGTCAATCAGACACAGACCTTGGTAAAAAAGGTATGTTTTAAGTTTAGATTTGAAGAGAGTTACAGACGTTCTCTCTCAAGTCTTAGGATGGTCATTCCACAACACTGGGACAGCGACTGAAATGGCACGGTCGTCAACAGTCTGTGATTTAGCCCTGGGGACAGTGAGCAGAGGACCGGCCTCCACTGCACAGAGCCTGTGGTGGGGGAGTGTACACACAGAGGAGTTCAGAGATGTATGATAGAACCAGATTTAGAGCCTTGAAAGTCAGCAGCAAGATCTTGTATTGAAAACGTGACTTCCTAGGCAACCAGTGTTGAAACTTAAGTGTAGGAGTGATAGGCTGCCAGCGTCTGGCTTGAGTAAATTGTCTAGCTGCAGGGTTTTGAACATATCGCAACAAAGAATGCATAAGAAGAAGGGAAAGGAGAATGCATAAATTTGCACGTAGATATTTTCTGCAAGTGGCTTAAACAAGCACTGGGGGGTGAAGGAACCAAGAGATTTGAGCCTGAAGTGTCCGTTCGTCTAGCAAGGCTTTATTGTATGCATACAAGGAGCAACACATTTCAGGCTTACTGTTGTATTGCTAAGAGGGGTTTACACAGCTTATATACACTTTTCTCTCCACCTTCCTCCCTCCTGTCTTTGAGGTAGCTGTCTCAAGAGACTTCGGGACTCAGAAAGCACTTAAAACATTCCTTTCTTATCAGGAGTTTAATATAAACATTCCCCATCAGGGAGTTGAGTACAGAAGATGGGGGTTCAGTACATGGATTGAGAAGCATCTGTGCCCAAGCAAGCGTGAAGGTCCGAGTTTAGCATGTGAATTCAGCAGTTCACAGCTCCTACCACTATATGGGTACAGAGTTACATACAGATTCTGCTAGCAGACTCCATCAGGGGGGTGTAAAGGGCAATAGAGCCTGCAACCGAAAGTCATCCAGGGATGGTGTTTATACTGTCTCTCCCTGGCTGTTTCAGAGGGACCTGCTGGGGCTTCTGCGCACTCACTGGCACAAGGCCTTGCTCCAGTCCCTGCGGGAGAGCAAGGTGCTGCTGGCCAACAGCGGGCAGAAGAGCTGGAAGATGAACCTGTACCCTTACCTGTGCCTGCTGGACGACCGCGAGTACGTGGACATCATGCTGCAGGTGAGAGACGGGCAGATGGGGGGTGTGGATGTCATTTATCCCGTAGTCATGCTCTTTGGCTTTTCAGCAAAGGCAGCTCTTTGTGGGGTGCCTGCCAGGTGAATTCCACCTCCCTTCCCAGTGCTGGTTTTTGGATCCTCAGGAACGCGTTGCTCGTTACCCGGCGTTTGTCGCTAACAGAACGGCTTCCTCCCTCCTCAGAGTGTGTGCAGCCTGCAGCCCAGCGGAGAATCCCTGCTGATCCTGGCCAGGGACCTGGGCAACCGGGTGTACAACAAGTACTGCATCAGGAGGAAGGCCCAGAGCCTCATGCTGGAAAAGCTGGCCGCCATCTACAACCGATACGCTGAGCTGCTGGCGAAGGACACTGAGGTATCGCCCTCTGTCTCCGTCCGCAAGCTGGTGGAGGCACTGAAGACCTGCGGCAGTCACCGTCAGTTTCCTGGTCCTGGGGGAGCCCTGTGTCTGCAGGACAGTTCTTTCCAACTGGGCCCTTAATCACCAGTGCTAATTAATGCCTGTAATTGATCTGCTAAACTGCTGGTTTAGACTTTTTCTGCACTCAGGTCTTGCTTTCACAAATGACCTAGTTAAAGTGCGTTTCCAGCAGCTTCAGCAAAAAACTTTGGGCAATGTCTCCTCAAGTTGCCCATGAGGAATTTGCTCCCTTATTTCTGACTCAGTAGCTCTTGCTCTTCACAGTCAGTCTGGGAAGCAACACAGTGGGAGGGGACAGTGTGTTCAATAAGTGCACTGTGAGTGCGAGTGAGTGTTTTTCCTTCTGCGCTGGTGGAAGTGTTTGTTTCAGCTTGCACGCTTGAATGAGGACGGTCCTGGAACTCGCTAATTAGCACAGGGTTCACGCTAATTACACATCGCATTCATCTTTTTTAAGAGCTGAAAGCAAGTCTGAATAAAAGCCTCAGATGGAAAATTCAAGTAAATTAGCCTGTGGCTCAGAGCTCAGCTGGAGAAAAACCAGAGATAAAGCAGAGTTGAAAACATTTGGAAAAACTTAGTTGCTCCCATTCTCCAGCAATACCTTACAAGACTCCTGGGTCAACAGAGCTACTTCATTCTGGTACAAGGAGTTCAGAACAGGGCTTACCCAGGACCAGGATGGAGACCCCCTGAACCGCAGGGTCCATTCGGACTCCAGCGGCATGGCTCTCCACCAATCAGATTGCCGCAGCAGGGGCTGAATCTTTCTGCCTTGTCCCCCTGCCCCCCTGCCCCCCTCATGGGTAGCTCTGTTAACACTGCTGCCTCACAGTAACAGGGTTTAAACCCAGCTCCAGGCACCCACAAGCAAGGTATCTGCATGTGTGCAAGTTGGCTATTTGCTGGGAGCTCTGCTTTCCTCCTGCCTCTCAAAGGCATGCAGTTTTAGATTTGATTGGCTGCTCTAATTTGTCAATTTCTTTGTCGGTGTGGCAAGTTTAGCTGTTCCCAGGCTGACAGGTGTTGGACGTGATGAAACCCGAACATGATAGGAAGGTTTGCCTCCTCTCATTTGTGGCCTTTCTGTCTGCGTCTCCCCCAGTCCAGCAAGGTCCTGCCGCGGGAGCGGTGGGCGGAGCTGGAGGCGGAGCTTGCCTCCGGCCCCTCCCTGCTGGGCGACAGCGCGCAGTGGCCGCACATCCTGGTGGTGCAGCTGGGCACGCACCTGGTGGGTCTCATGATCTCGGAGCTAATGGTGCACGCCAACATCCTGAACCCCGCGCTGGAGAAGAAGCTGATCCCAGTTCTGTATCACATGTACACCTTTCGCAGCAACCGACAGGTAAAAACCCACTAACCCACCCCTTCGCAAACGAAGTGTAACGTGCTACGGCTTCAAGTAGTATAAACCGCATTCAATGTCTGGAAGATAAACTCGAGAGCAGGCTGGAGTCAGGTGCGTGCTGTGAGAGCAAGCAGGATGCTGTGAGCAGAGAGCACAGTGTGCGCAGCAAGCAGGGAGACGCAGGCACACAGTCCAAACAGGTCAAAAACCAAAACGGGTGAGGTTCAAAGCCAGGCAGAGATGAGAAGCACAAAGGGAAATCCACAAACAGTCAAGGGAAACGAGCAGAGTTGGTAGACTAGGAGACAGAGTACAAAGCACAAGAGGACACTCTAATGAAAAGAGTCAGGGCGAGGGTCTAGAATCCAGGAAACAAACAGCAACCTCTATGAAAGAGCTCCTCAGCACTGCCAGATCACAGTAGCTTGAACCACCTGAGGCAGACATAGTAGTAAATTGCCTCCAGGTGGTACAGGACTCATGTCAAATTACTATCCACTAATACAAGGGGGAATGGCAGCATTGCAGCATCAGATCATGTATGTGGCCTTTGTCCTGTGTAGCAGGCAGCAGAGAGGTAGCTCCTGACTGTGATCACATTCTGTCTGAAAACAACACCTTCCCCTTTGCAAAATGTAGTTTGTTTTTATTCCTTGATCTCAGTGTGGGCTTCTTCTTTATCCTCTTCCAGCAGACGCATCGTCTGATGGCTTCTGGACACAGTAATAATGAGAGTAATGTGCCTTTAACTAAGCACCCCGTCTCTTCTGCACTAGAGTGCCTCTCTCCCGCTGCCTCTACAGCACTTTTCATATGAGCTCTTCATGCCAGCTTATGCCCATATGAATTATAGAAAAGCTGTCTTGCAAGGATCGATGGTGCAGTTTGTCAGGAGTAATGGCTTTGGAATTAATCCCTTTTTTACCGTGTTCTTAATTGGCTGTGTGATTTACAGCCTTGAGCACAGTCAAAGGCCTCCTCTGTCTAGAAGGTGCTTCTGCGTTGTTTTTTTGGGGTCTCCTCGGAATCTCGTTGTTTTCACAGGACAGCGACACCCCCCTCCAGCACTGTGCTGCGTATTTAAGGACCCTTATTGTTCAGGGTCCACCCCCCCTCGCCCCTCCCACACACCACGCCAAGGAGTTTCTGCCGATGACCGTAGCGGCAGCCCCCTGTATAGAAGCTGATAACTATGTTATCCTCAAGAAATGTCACTTTATTCCAGATCCACTTTAAACCAGAGGCCTTAATCCAGGAATCTCTTATGACTTCCAGGCGTGCTCTCTTTGTCCTCTCCCATGTCCAGGAGAGTGTGCCGATCCCGTAGCTTTTACAGGTTGGATTAAAGTTAATAGAATGAACCAGAACTCAATAGAAGTGCCGTTATGCTCTGCTTTAATGAAAAGGATCCTCGCTTGAACGTATCCTTGATTATCTTATTAATTTGCATAATCACTTGAGTTTCCTGGTGTTTCAGACATATGGGAAGTGAAATTGCCCCTGTAGTAACGTGAAATGCACAGTTCCTCTTGTCTGCCATGCTAGTGTAGAAAAGTAACCTTTTTTTGTGTTTTTAGCTGGATCTGGATCTTTCTGACCACAGGGGGTGGTCAGTAGCAACAGAAGACAAAATGATTTTAATTTCAGCAAACTCTAGTTCAAAATCCTGTGAGATTTTACATGCAAAGGCCAGATGAGATCCTTAAATGAATAGTCTTCCAGTAAGTAAGTAAACAAGTGTACTGAATGTCCAGTTTGTTCCTTCTCCTTTGCCTTAGGTTGGGTTTATAAAGCCCCATCCAATTCTGACACAAATCATGTCTGAAGCCATGGAGACCAAGCTGACCTTTGACTCCTATGTGATGCCCATGCTGTGCCCGCCAGTGCCATGGACCTCACCACGGTTCGGTGGCTACATCCTGACTCCCACCAAGCTGATGCGCTCAGTGGAAGGAGCGATCCAGCACCAGCTGCTCCTGGAGAAGGGTCCGGAGCAGGACCTGTACGCCGTGCTGGACTCCCTCAACCAGCTGGGCAACTGTGCCTGGAAGATCAACCAGCCCCTCCTGGACATCATCATCTCCATCTTCAACGACAAGGGCTGCGACAAACTGGACATCCCCCCGCCCATGTCCGAGGCGCCCGAGGTGCCCCACTTCAACCCGCGGGAGCACACCTATTCCGAGGAGGAGAAGGCGTCCCTGAAGAAGGAGGTGGCCAAGTGCAAGAAGAAAGCGGCGGAGATGCACAGCCTGCGCATGGACGCCCTCTACAAGCTCTCCATCGCCAACCACGTGCGCGATGAGGTCTTCTGGTTCCCCCACAACATGGACTTCCGCGGGCGCACCT